AAACTTCGCGAGCAAATCATTGCTCATCACCACGATACCCCATTGGCTGGACATCCTGGTCAATACAAAACACATGAGATGGTCACACGTAACTACTGGTGGCCCCGAATTAGAGAAGACATCAGGAAATATGTAGCTGGATGCGAGAAATGCCAGAAGACCAAGGTTCATACAACGCGTCCTACCAGACTTCTATTCCCCAACGAAATCCCTTCACGACCCTGGGAAGTAATCTCCGTTGACAAGATAGGCGTACTACCGGACTCCTTCGGATACAACGCCATCCTCGTGGTCGTCTGCATGTACTCTAAGCAGATAATCGCGATACCAAGCACCATTGAGCTTAACGCCGAGGGATGGGCAAAGGCACTCCGAGATAACGTAGTCGCACATCATGGATTACCCCGAAAGATCATCAGCGATAGGGGAACTGAATTCAAGAATCAGTTCATCTCCGAATTGTACCGATCACTCGGAATCGAAGCCAACCCTTCAACCGCGTATCATCCCCAGACAGACGGACAAACGGAACGCATCAATCGCGAGATAGAACAGTATCTCCGATTATTCATCAACTACCGACAAGCGGATTGGGCCGAATGGTTGCCACTCGCAACCTTTTCGTATAACAATAAAGTCCACTCATCTACCGGGTATACCCCGTTCTTCGTCAATAAAGGGTATCACCCTTACGAAGGAATCCAACTGGTGCGAGAAGGACTAAGCGAAAATGTCCAACAGTTTGTCGATAGAATGGATCGAGTACGCGAGGACACTAGCGCCGCTATCAGTCTAGCGCAGGAGACAATGAAACGCTTCTACGACCGAAAGAGGAAGAACGGACCAGAGTACAAAGAGGGGGATAAAGTTTGGCTAGAAGGGATAAACATTCGAACAGATAGGCCAATGAAGAAGCTCGACGATAAGCGATATGGACCCTTTAAGGTTAAACGCAAAGTCGGAGCTTCCGCCTATGAATTGGAACTCCCACGTCAATGGAAACAACATCCCGTCTTCAACAAAAGTCTACTTAGCCCCTTCAAAGAACCTGCATATCCATCACAACGACGAGAACCGATAGTCCCTGACCTCGTAAATGGCGAGGAAGAATGGGAAGTCGAAGACATTCTTGACTCTCGTCGTGATCGAAGTGGAAATCTTGAATACCAGGTTCTCTGGAAGAATAGTCCCCACGGTGATCGCCGTTCCTGGGAATCACGGGCGAACTTGACCAATTGTCAAGAACTCCTTGAAGAATTCCACGCTAGACGTCCCGACAAACCTGCGCCTATGATGATTCGAATTCCCCCTCTATTGACACGACCTGTCCACATACTTGCACGCGACTCCACTCTTTTGGTGCAACGAATGGGTGGAATTCTCCCGAAGCAAGGATCTGAAGAATCGGCTGGGTTGGATCTCTATTCGGCTGAAAGCGTTAAGATATCGGCACGAGACCGCAAGATCGTCAGCACCGGTATAGCAATGCGCGCACCTCACGGAACGTATGCACGAATCGCGCCGCGAAGCGGATTAGCAGTCAAAGGGATAGATGTCGGCGCTGGAGTAGTAGACCGAGATTACACCGGAGAAGTACGCGTTGTGATGATCAACTCCACGAATCAACCTTTTCAAATACACGCTGGCGATCGGATCGCACAAGTCATTTTGGAACGCATTGCGTCGTGCGATATCGAGGAGGTGTCAAGTTTAACAGAGACTCAACGAGGATCAGGAGGGTTTGGATCGACGGGTAAATAATCGTGAGGACACGATTCTAGACGGGGGGGTAATGTCATGAATATTACACAATCCGGATGGTTCTCCCGGATTCCATGGTATTCTTTCACTTTCTATACACCTCCGTATATTCGTAGGATATTCTAGGTATTCATTCTAACATGTATATAAGGAGCCTGTACTGCTCAATAACAAGCCAGACTCGAGCTGGTCTTTCCTCACTCACATTCCTCTCGTCTGTCTCCTCAGCACTGTCGTAGCTCAGTCCAGTTGGATTGTTAGTTGCTGACACATATTGAGTATGTCGGACCTCTGTGTCGGCGCAATATCTCGCGACGCGCGCGCCATCAGATCGAAGAACCGAAGAGACTAGGCCTCACCCGCCTGCAAGCTCGACGTCGTTCATCACACGTCTGTCGGAAAGTTTTTCCTCAAGCTGGTGCGTGCTATTTTAGACACGCACCATAACATCGTTGAGATATTTCTCAATATGTGGTACCTTGTATCCTATATGCTTGAGTACATAGTTCCGCGTTGCGGCAGAACTAGATTGGCGCTGGCGCTGATGTACCACCCAACACATCGCATCCGAGCTCGTAGAAATGCGCTCTGTAACGTCAGCTCACACCCAGAAGTCAAATCAGATACGGAATGCTGTAATGGACCACAGGTAGATTCCAGAGATTAGTGCATCTGACTTCAGTATATTAGTGAACCGTCCATTGATGAATACATCCGAAGGAGCGTGGCGTGCAACTGATTATCAAGCATGGAGTGTAGCGGTGAAGGGTATACTAAGCAACGTACAAAGAACGGCGGGAGTGAGCGGGAGAGTGGCCATCAGACGACGCTATCTGTTGAAGGAAGGGACGAAGGAAGAAGTAGCACGAATACGAAACAATAGTCCGGCGATGATGTCTTACTCTGACTTGAAGCGCGTACCGCCCTCGCCACCGCGCATAATGGCCTTCATGAACGCGAAGAACCGGTCAGCGTACTCCTCGGGCGGAACGGGACTAATTTTATGCTGCAGAGATCATCAGCGCGGTAAGAGTAGCAGGATCTCGATAGACTCACCCGGTCAGCTTGAAAGCCCTTCCAATAGTGCTCCAGCTTCTTCACCGTGCTGTACGGCGTCAGGATGTCGATGATACCGAGATAATAGATCGTGTCAAGGCTCTCATTCGTCTCATCTGTCGCCCGCAAGCCACCATCGTCCTGGTAGAACAAAAAGTGCTGCCGCTCGCTGGCGTCGGGCGCGACGTGACTCGTATCCAGCGCCTTCGGGTCGCTTTCACGTACCAGACGCCGCATTGCAATTGCCTCCGGCGACGATGGCCCCTTGCTGTTCTGCCCCATCGTCGGCTTCCGTCGCAAGATCGGTACGTCCGGCGAGAACACCTTCAGCGTGTTCCGCCGCACGTTGTCCCGGTTTCCGCGCGCCATGTTATGGATGCCAATGAGTAGCGAGTAATCCATCACGTGCAGCTTCTTGAGCAGTTCCGCATCTCGTCGTATCTGCTCAGTAAGTAGCGCACGCTTCTCCGGGCCCAGCTCAAGCGACTTGCTGCGGTTGATCCAGTTGAGATCTTTGAGCACCGCACGCGGGTTCTGCGCCGCCTTCACCTCGGGGTACTCCCGTCCGACGGTACTACCCTTGAGATCGTATGTCTCGTGAACATCCTTGTGTGGCGGAAAGAGATTGTTCATGATCACAAAATGAATCTTCCGGCCGCGCGGCAGCTTGACACGATGCAAACCGTAGAAGCGTGACAAAAGGGTGTGCGGATTCTGCTTGACGTGTTCATGATATTGCTTCAGAATGCGGCGAAGGAACTTGTGTTCACTGTGGTGAATAGTCTTGATGATGAAGCGGTAGTCGCGAGAGAAGTAGAAGAAAGACCCAGACTTGCCCGGCGAGCCTAGCTCCGACAGGATATACTTCGCAGTCAGGGAAAGTAGATAATCAGCGGGATCAAGTTGGAAGTAATCTTCGCGTAGTTCACGGAAAACCCAAGGCGCGTAGTCCTTGAACTTGAAGTCGTACCTCGTCGATGGCGTCAGCTCGTTACCGATGCTGCAGACAATCAGCAAAGCAAAATGATAGATAACTAGCAGACGTACAAATCGAAGGAGTACTTGTGCGCAGCCTTGTAATCCTCGTCTGTCAACGAGCGGCGTATCTTCGCTTGACATCGTGACACGGCGACGCGAATGCCAGTGAGCATGTTGAACATAAGCACGTAGTTGACGTGCCCTTCGCCAATGAGATTTCCCACTACCGGCTTCTCATCCCCGCGATTGGAAAGCGCACGCACTAAGGATGTTGTCCGAGCAAGTCTGTGCACTCCCTGCTCGGCTCGCAGCTTCCCTTGCTCTGCCTCCTGTGCCGCCTTCCGCTTCGACATCCGCTCCTTCCGAATTTGCTCCGCCTGTTGCTGTATATCGGACGCGAGCTCCCCCAACTCGTTGTCGTTAACCTCAAGTGTGTCATGACTGAATTGTTGTAGCAGTGGGGTGGGTGGATGCCGTGAGGATGATGATAGTATGCTCGCAGAGCCTGTCGTGTTTCGGCGAGACGGGTTATGGAGGGGTGGCTGAAGAAAGCCATCTTCTGGACTCGGCGGAGAGAGCGAGGTGGTGCCGTCCGATTGCGCACGCATGATTCGTGGTGAAGCCGAGGGAGAGAGCTTCTGCGAGACATCTGTGTCGGCAGACGACCGCCGTCCCAAGCTGGGCGGCAGTCTTGGCGAGGCTTTGCGTGGGGAGGGCGGTTGTCGCGGAGGTTCCTCAAATGTTATCGGGCGGCCGTTTGAGGACGGCGTATGTGACTTTGGGGACTCTGGCGTGCGCCCCTCCTCCATGATCTCGGTCTCACCTCCGATGCTCGCTGGTGGTGAGGGTGGGGGTGGGCCAACTTTAGACTCTGGCGCGTCTTCAGCGGGTCGCGGTGCAGAAGGTAGTCGCTTTCCAGATGCATAGTGAATCTTTTGCGACAGCCCATCAGTGACTACAGTCACTGAATGCTTGACTTGGAGTCGCACCTCATCCTCGCCAGAGCCTAAGATCGGTGTGGTAACCGGCGTTCTCGAGGCCGCGGGATGTCCAGGACTAGGTATAGAGAGAAAAGAGACGTTGGAAGAGCTCGCTTGACCAATTTTGCCTAGACTTTCTGGAGAAGAAGAGAGGGGAACGGAGAGAACTGTGGACATAGATGGAATAAGAGTTGGTTGTCGCTCAGAACCGCAGTCTGCAGCTGCGGTAACTGCGGGATAGCTGAGATGAAGACGATAGAAGTAACAGTGAGCAACTTAGGAAGAGATAAATAATGTATTCTCTTCCTTGCGCATGGGACGGTATCGTCGTCGGGAAAGAGATGTTCGACGGCGAGGTAGACGCGGACTAAAGCTTAGGAGGCGCTCATAGCTTTGCACACAAATAAACCTCTTTTGTAAGGTTTTGTATACAAGGCTTACGTTTGGGCATGCGATGTGGGGATTTGGCCCTTATCGTGCCAATTTCTTCGTAGTTTAGCGGACCGCAGTTCTGAGCAGCGCCCAAAACCCTTGCCTAATTTGTCCCAAAAACCCATCAAATCGCAGTTGTGCAGATCGAAAGAGCCGCGAACAGCATTCCAGTGAGGTTCTTGTTCTCGGCTATGCCTGACCATAAGTCAATCCGGCATAGTACTTCCCTGTCTAAAAGCTAGTACAGCCAGGTTAATCATGGCTACTATATAGCAGTTGAGCTGAGCTCTCAGAACAAACGACTGAGCTGATGAGGGTGATCTTCTACTGATGCAGCGGACGTCTATAAATGATGATACAACGTAATCGGATACATAGACAGTGAGTACGATATGTGACGAGTTTCATGTGCGCATCAAGAATACAGGTATGTATGTGTATGGTATCCACAAATCTATGTAACAGCCGCCGCCGCCTCCATGTTACACCTTCGCCTTCGAAGCTGTCTTGGAGAACAACTTGGCCTTCTCAAGCGCCGCTTGCGAGTTCTTGACGAGCCTCTTCTTGTAATCCACGATTGAGATGTCCTCCCTTGTCAAGTTCTTGATCTTGCGGTCCTTGACCTCCCACAGCTCGTCCGCCACCTGCGAGATCAGCCGGAAGTCGTGCGACACGATCACCACACCACCCTCGTACTCCTTGATCGCCTTCGCGAGCGCGTCGATCGACGCCATATCCAAGTGGTTCGTCGGCTCGTCCAGCAGCAGGATGTGTGGGTGCTCCATCGCAAGCTGCGCGAACACGACACGGTTGCGGAGACCGTCTGACAGCTGTTTGATCGGTGCCGTCTGGTGCGAGCCCGACAGACCGAACCGGCCAAGTTGCGCTCGCCAAGCCTGAATGTCCTTGTCAGGGAACTTCTCGTGGTACAGCCGCTGGAAGTGCTCGATCGGCGGCGTGTCGTACGGCAGCTGGTCAGCAGAGTGCTGCGAGTACTTGGCGAGCTTCAAGTTCGCATGGCGAGAAACCGTGCCCTCGCACGGTTGCAAGGCGCCCGTAATCAGATTCAAGAGCGTCGATTTGCCCGTACCGTTCTGGCCGACGATCGCAACACGCGAGTCCATGCTGCTAGGATGTCAGAGACCGCCCCTGCGCTTAGAAATAATTTGACGTACTCGATACCGAAGGACAGATTCTTGTACAGATAGTCCTTGGGCTTGCCTGAGTACGAGAAAGCAACGTCGTTGAACGCGAGAATTGGGGGCGGAAGCTTCGAGACATCCTCGAAGTTAAAGCGCAGAGGTCGCGGCGTCTCGACCTTCTCGATGAGGCCGGCAGCCTCCATTTTGTCGATAATTTTTTGCTTCGACTTGGCTTGCTTGACCAAGTTCGCGTATGTACCAGCCGACGCAATGAACCTAGAGTGTTTAGTAAGATACGACTGCCACAATGTGAAAAGACTCACTTCTTGATATGCGCGATTTCATCCTGCTGCTTCTGGTACGCTTTCATCTGGTTGACCTCATTCTCCTGCTTTGTGCGCACGTAAGTTGAGTAGTTACCACCGTAGTACACGAGCTTCTTCTTCATCGTGAGGTCCATTATGTTCGTACACACGCTGTCCATGAAATCTTGCGAATGCGACGTGATAACAAGGATGTGGTTGTACATCGAGAGGTACGCTTCGAGCCAGACGACGGCCTCGAGGTCAAGATGGTTCGTCGGCTCATCGAGTAGGAGCAGATGCGGCTTGACGAAGAGCGCACGCGCGAGGGCAACACGCATACGCCAACCACCAGACATGTCCTTTGTTGGGCGGTGCATCATTTCTTGCGAGAAACCCAGGCCGTGGAGGATGGAGCCGGCCTTGGCCTCGAAGGTGCTTGGGTCCATTTCCTCGAGCTCTTCGTAGAGCTGGTCGAGCTGGACTTCGTCGACGTCATCTGCGATAGAAAGTTCCTCAATGCGTGCCTCGAGCCGGGCGACTTTTTCTTTCGCGCTCTTGACGATGAAGTCGATAGCGTTCACTTCTGAAGGCTCAGCTTCGCCCTTGACGTGGTAGATATCGATGTGGTCTGGGATCGGAATGTCGCGGTCCGCTAGTGATTGCAGGAGCGTCGACTGTATATAACACGCATTAGCGTCAACACGAATAGTACAAGCGAAAAGATATCGCTGTGTGCAGGACGAGGTCATCGCACGTGCCGCGAATGCAAGGTCCACGCTCGCCAGCCTTAAATACCAACCAATGCCGCTGGGAGTCGACAAACAGAGGCATGATGAGTGTTTATGAGCGATTCGTGCCCACTTGACCCTCACAAGAGACCGGCGAGAAGAGTTCGGGAGACCGGCCTACTGTCTACCCTCACTCCTTCTGCAGCATTCATCGGATGTGGATGTTGCACACAACGATATGCAATCTGCTACGGAGGGGGAAAACAGAACGCACCTTTCCCGAGCCGTTTTCTCCGAGGAGACCGTACCGCTGCCCATAGTTGAGCGAGATTTCGGCATTCTCGATGAGTAGCCTTCCGTGAAACGAGAGCGTATAGGAATCGATCTTGATATCACGGCCCTTGGGGTCAGAGGCGAGAACGCCAGCAGCGCTCCTGTGCACTTGTCAGCGTCTTGTGCATCTCTTCGGAGGTGCGCACACGCACCTGTCCGTAGCGAGCTGCAGCTTCGCCATCGCCGAAAGGTCTTCCTGGGATCCCGCCGCCGAGTTGCTCGTCAGCGGTGTGTTTACGGATGAGCCATTCGCAGAACCTGTCGGCGTGGTGCCGGTTGTGGATGACGCATCCGTCGAGCCCTTGATTTTTGCCGACTGCTTGGCCGCCTTCTCGGCGAGACGCTTTTGCTTGGATGCGGAGGGGGGCATCGTATGTGTTTTCGTCTACGTTACTGTCGTCGTCGTGGTAGATGATAAGCTGGAGCCTGGAACGAGTGGAGATGGTGGTGGACGTGCAGAAAGCGCACTTTTGAATAATCGATCACCTAGCGCCTACCAAATTTCGAGCTTCGGGAAAATGACTTCATGCAGTCGGCACCGCCACGGGCCTCTATATGGCGCACGCAACATCGAGCGACTGGTCCGTCCCTCCGCGAGCTCTTTAGCAAGTCTCACGATCGTATCATGATTCGCTAATGCTACATAAGATGTATGTACACTACGACATGCAACTGCACTACGCAAGATAAAAGCATAAGTATACGAGAAGAAGCGCGCGACTACCCAGGACCGCATCAGCTCCCAATCGGCTTCCAACCCTCTAAGAAGCCGTTGGTCCAAGCGTGCGGGGCTTCATGTTGTGCATTACGACCCCAGGCAGCGCAGACGCACTTCCCCTACACATAGCCTTCTTGCGGGTTGCCACAATATGATGGATAAGACCTCTCAGAAGAGTCGAACAGGCTTGCCCATGGTGGACTTAATGTGCAGAGACTTGACATTCTGCCAATTCTTCTTGAGCAATGAGACGAGGAAGTTGATGCCTGACAAAAGCAGGTGTGAATGGGCGAGAGCGTTATATAGACGGCGGTATACGCACTGAGCATGACATTGCCAAGAACCTGGTCCTCAGTCATCTGAACGTGTCCAACAGCAACACCCAAGCAGAGAACCTTCTTGAGCTGAAACTTTATGGTCGAACGGACTTCAGTGATCTTGTTGCCCAAGTCCTCGGAGTGGGAGACGGGAGTGGGGAACTTGCCAGCTGTAGGACAATCAGTATACCGCCTCGCCATGGACATTTAGATGACACACCCTTGGAGAGACCGGGACCGAGGAGACGAGGAATCTGTTTAATGAGAGTCTCGGACGAAAGAAATGCATCGTATTTCTTCGCAAGCTTCTTAACAAGCTTCTTGTTCTTATTAAGCTTTTTCAAGTCGTCAACGGACATGTACTCGAGGTCAATCTGCTTGGCACGATCGATGTCGGCGGCATCAGCGAGAATACAGATAGACATGCGAGGGCGAGGAACGTGAGGAAGCCTATAATCGACGGTGTCGGCTCGATGCCTTCATGACCAGCACGAAAGAAAGACTCACTTGACGGTACCCGAGAAACGCTTGTCACGCTGAGGGTCGTAGTTCTTGAGACCGATCTGGAGCTCAATAGTCTCGACGAAGTTCCGCCTCTTCTCACCGTTGGCCTCGGCGAGAAGTTCACGAACGGAGCCCCGCACGCTTGCCACTGAGAGCTTGCTTCCGCTGCATCAAATAAAAATAAAAATCAGTACTTTCCCGTTGTCGCAAACGACGGCAGCGAACATACCTCATGCTTTTAGATACCTGGTCCCGAAGACTTGAAGGATTGTGGGGGTTAAGTTGCTGAGCGCTCGAAGTATAAGGTTTAGGTGGCGGCAAATATCGGGCAGTGCCGAGAGTGACTGTACAGTGTGACATACCGTGACACTCTATGCCGTGTCACTCTGCGCGTCGAGTCGACGTGGCGACCCTCACGATTATGAGCCCTCTCAGCTCTGTCAATACCACGCTACTTTTGTCCCGTACAACGACATGTCTCGACAAGCAATATTTCAATAAACTCGTTAGCTGACTTTGATTGCGTCCGACTCGATACCCCGACTGCTGGTGCTGACTGTTTTCTGAGTTCTCAACAATTATGCATCTCGCCGCTGGCTTGTAAGTTCCAGTGTCTCATATCATATTGGCCATGATCAACGTAGCTCAGCGTCATGCCCTGACCCCGAACTGCGATCTGTTTATCTAGTGGCTATGAATCCCACGCGGCTTCCAGCTCACCCCTAACTAGCTCCTATAACATTGCGTGGATCTCAGCACTGAACGCACACACCATGGTGGCCGATATCCTATCCGTCTTCCCAGAGGATCAGATTTTGACCCCCAGTAACGGGCAAGCCTACGAAGAAGCACTTCGTCGTTGGGCGGAGAATTCGGAGAGACGAGCCAAAGTTATCGTGCTGCCGAAGTCTTCAAAGGACGTCTCCAAGGCGGTCAGCGATAGTACATTGTCTCTCTTAACTCGCTCATTCTAGACTTTAGATTCAGTATGCCGTTGCTAACGATCTCGAGATTGCCATCAAAGGCGGCGGGCACTCGTGCTCCGGAGCCTCTTCTTCTGAAGATCTTGTCATCGACCTCCGCCATTTGAGCAGTGTTTCCGTCGATGTCGAGAAACGTCTCCTTACCGCCGGTGGGGGCGCAATCTGGGAGACTGTCGACAAAGAGGCAGCAAAGTATGGTCTGGCGACTGTAGGAGGGACGGTCAATCACACTGGTTCGTTCTATTGCACCTATGTTCTCATATATCTCTTAAGCCTTAGCTCTTGCTTGCAGGCGTCGGCGGACTTACCCTCGGCGGTGGATACGGATGGCTGACGCCCAAGTACGGACTCACTATCGACAACCTTATCCAGGCAGAGATCGTTACGGCCAATGGGGACATTCTGACCTGCAGCGAAACAGGGAACGCAGATCTATTCTGGGCTATTCGTGGTATGTAGCTGTACATCCTCCCATATTTCCTCATCCAAAGCTTTGGGATGATCTGTAGGCTCTGGTTCGAACTTTGGCGTCGTCACCTCGTTTGTGCTTAAAGCTTATCCACAGCCCAATGCTGTCTGGTCTGGCCTGGTATGTCGCTCGTTTCTCTTCATACTGTCTAGTGGCCTAACGTTCTCCAGGTGATATTCACCCCGGGACAGCTGTCTGCTATCATCAGCGCTGCTCGATCTTGGGCGGCCAACGCCTCCCAGGACGAGAGCTGTATAATCTTCTTCGCGTGCCCACCTCCGGTCTTCCAGCCCGCAGTCGTCCTGGTTCCCTTCTTCAACGGCTCTGCAGAGGAGGGCAAGAAGCGCTTCAAAGCGTTCTTTGACATAGGTCCCGTCGCTGACTTGACGAAGGCGCTCCCGTACGAGGAGATGAATGCGCTTCAAAACCCGATGGCAACGCACGGCGACCGGAAGGTTTTGAAGGGCGCGCCGCTCGCGCAGGTGGACGAGGACGTTCTCACCAGCCTCTACAGCGAATATGTCAAGTTCGTGGCGGAATATCCCGAGGCGAAAGCGTGCGTCCTTTCCCTCTAATTGGTATACGCGTGTAGCACGTCTAACCGTACCCGTTGCAGGAGCGCAGCCCTCATTGAGCTGCACTCGTACCAGAAACTCATGGAGGTCCCCTTTGAGGCGACAGCATTCGCGAATCGCGGCCCGATCTTCAATATCACGTTTGCGATTCGGTGGAAAAGCCCTAATCTTGATATGACGGTGAATGTGCCCCCTCTATCCAAAGCGTTGTCGAGACTGATCGTTGTGGGCCGGTGGATAGATGCGCCAGTGGGCATCCGCGCGCGCTAAAGCGATCCGCGTTGAAGAGAGCAAGCGCTCAGGTATGGACCTCGAAGCTGCACGCGGCGTATGTACCCCTTTCTTACCTTCTCCTGAGTCTCTCTGATAGAGAATCTTCAATAGTATGCGAATTTTGGCCTCGGCGACGAGCGCGTGCGCGACGTTTTTGGCGAGCACTATGACCGCTTGAGCGAACTCAAGGCCAAGTACGATCCTCAGCTGGTCTTCCGCAAGTGGTTCCCGATCGTGCCCAAGGGCTATGCGGGAGAAATTCCTACGTGAACTAGGACGATGGATCGAGTTTGCAAAGAGTAGGGGACCTCAGGGGCCCAAGAAACAGAGCTTTGTAGGTAATACGAATGTGTACAACAGTAGTGCTCAATGGAATTTTGGATGCCTTATCCTCGATATCTCAAGTGAACGACGATCACATCGTGACCTCGGAGTTTTCACGGTCTGACAGGTGTGTAATTACCGCAGTTCACGTGCATTTCCAGTGATGCTTTGCTGACGACTCTGGCTCAAAGTCCACGACATTCTGACGGTTCCGCACAGCCCGCTTTCACGCATTTGTGACCTGTGAATTATGCAAATTTCGCCGATGCGCTGTATGTGCACGACTGCCCTCATTCATTCTTGTACGGATCAAACGGGCCTATCTTTCTCGCTCTACCCACAAGAAGCGCGGATATGGTTCACAGAAGTTGATTTTGTCAAGGGAACGCTTGTGAGTCTCAGTGGAGGGCCCAATAGCAGCCCTAGCCCCGCGCATGTTTGAGGTACCGTCACAAACGGGGCATTCAAGCTGTCTCGCGGGACGCACAGAAGACGTCGTGGTGCCTTTTTACTTACAGCCTCTACCACGGGCTCTGCCACGGCCGCCACAAGGCTTCTGGCGTTAAAATGCGGATGCCCAGAGCCACGAGGACGGAGTACGAGCTCTTGCCCCTTGAACCCCCGAGTCTTGAAACGCACGACCCGATGGCAGAAGAGAAGATTCCCGAGCTCGACGCCCGTAGCGACACGATTGTTGAGCTCAACGCTCGCCGTCGGGCTGCCCTGGCTGAGGTGGACAATGCGTCGTTCTCGTGAGTATGCTGCAATCTATATCCACAGCTGGACGAGAGGATGCTAACTTTTGCGATAGGTGGTTTCACGTAAAGATCCTTGTCGTTACAGGGATAGGGTTTTTCACCGACTCGTAAGCACATCATTTCCGCAAGTGTCTACAAGATACTTATGGATAACCTGACGTCTAGATATGACATCTTTGCTGTGAGTTTCCATCTGTTCTCCCTGTTCCGCACTAGACATACTGACGCTACGCACCTCGCAGATTAATATTGCAGCAACGATGATCGGGTACGTCTACGGCAAGGGTCAACAGCTCTCCACGAATCAAGACCTGGGTGTAAAGGTGGCAACGCCCGCTGGAACCATCTTCGGCCAGCTTATTTTCGGGTGGTTGGCTGACTACGTCGGACGGAAGCGCATGTGTAAGTTCCACTTGTCCTGCATTGTGCACTGATACTGACCCCAGCTCGCTAGACGGTGTCGAGCTAATGATCATTATCATCGGCACATTTGGACAGGCGCTAGCTGGCGAAGCGCATGCTGTGAACATTATCGCTACAATAGTCCTGTGGCGATTTGTCGTAAGCAATCGATGCCTTAGGACGTGAGTCTGACTGATCATGTACATGTTAGATGGGTGTGGGCATAGGTGGAGACTATCCTTTATCGACTGTCATCCCCTCCGAGTTTGCCTCGGTCAAGAGCCGCGGCGCCCTGATCACAGCTGTTGGCGCCGCTCAAGGCTGGGGTGCATTCAGTGCGTAGCTTCCGTGTCCCACTGCTAAATCTAACTTACCTATACACGTCATAGCTGGTGCCCTCGTCGGCCTGATCATAACTGCAGCCTACAAAGACTCGCTCTTACGGGACAACCCTGACAACCTCGTCACGCCAGACGCTATGTGGCGCCTCCTTATTGGGCTTGGTTGCGTCCCGGGCGCTGTCGCGCTGTACTTTCGCCTGACGATACCTGAGACACCGCGATTTACAATGGATATCGAGCGCAACGTGATGCAGGCGGCAGACGATGTGGAACACTTCTTGAAAAACGGCACGTTCGTTGTAGATCCAGATGCGATTGTGCAGCGTGTCGCTGCGCCACGGGCATCGAGGCGCGATTTTCGGCGGTATTTCTCCCGTTGGAAGAACATGAAGATTCTAATTGGGACATGCTGGAGTTGGTTCGCCATCGACGTACGCTCCCTATCTATGATGGGCTTGAGGATTTTCGAGTGTTGACCCGTGCTGGCAGATCTCTTTCTACGGCCTCGGCCTGAACACTGCCATCATCCTGGATGCCATTGGCTTTGGGAGCCCCTCGCCCGACCTGACAGGCACGGCGGCCGTGTACGAGAACCTGCGCAACATTTGCATCGGAAACCTCATCCTAACTGTCGCAGGCCAGATCCCTGGCGCGTACGTTTGCGTGTTCACCATCGACCGGTGGGGCCGCAAACCAATCCAAGCAATGGGCTTCGCTGTACTCGCCGTACTGTTCGTTATTATGGGCTTTGCGTATGACAGACTTACTGCGAGCCCCGCTGGCACGCGCTTCTTCGTCTTCCTGTACTGCATGTGCAATTTCTTCTCGAATTTCGGGCCAAACTCGACAGTCAGCGTGACTCCTGGCGAGGCATTCCCGACACGGTACAGAGCCACGGCACATGGCATCTCTGCTGCCTCTGGCAAGGTCGGCGCGGTCATCTCACAAGTCGGATTTGCGCGCTTGAAGGATATTGGTGGTGAAGATCACTTTGTGAAACATATGTAAGTGAGCATCGGCTTTGGGCGACCTGGCTGTGTTAACGAGAACCACTTGACAGTCTTGAGATTTTTGCTTTCTTCATGCTCTCAGGTGTGCTCTCGACGATGTTGATACCAGAGACGATGGGGCGGTCGCTCGAGGATATGTCCAACGAGGATCAGGAGGAGTTCATCAAGGGTATGGCCCACGTCAAGTATCAGGGGGAAGGCGCACAAAACCACAGCGGAAGTTGAACTAGTTCAGAATTTTACAATCGTATGTGCTGCTCCTGGAAATCCTACGTGTCCGAGGGCCAGTAGGTAACTGCTGGCCTGATCCGCGAATCTCTATGCGTGATAAGCAGTCCGCCCTTGAGATGTCAAGAGTATATTACACATGTCTTTTATACAATCTACTTGGACCCTCTGCTCACGATTATAGCGTCTGCATTGAGATCCCGTATGTGCTCGCAATTGAAGCTCGTTACGTTACAGCCACTGGAATGCGAACGCCCCGGCGCCTAGAGACCCCGGACGTCAAGTCGCCAGAGCTCTCTCTCTCTCGTCTCGACCCTCATCTACATTCATGTCCTCTTTGAAACGCAAACGAGATAAAGATGACTCTGGAATAACCAACCACAATGCAACTCGTTCTGTTCCCCTTCCGGCAGACAGTGCTCCTGACGGGCCGTTAAATGTTACCGACATCCTCAGCCGGCTGAAGTGCCTGCTGGACCTTTCCTCCCTCACTGAACATGCCGACCTATCTGTGCGCTTTATGGATATCGCAGAAATCCTTTTAAACGGCGTTCTCCTTCGTCTCACCGCGAATAGCGCGACCACCGACTTCGAGATTCTCGAGCTGGAGTTTTACCTCTTCAAGTCGGGATGCCACGAAGACCCTTTCACGCACGGCACTGAAGAGCAGCGGCAGAGTGGGAAGTGGTTCGTCCAACAGATTTATTTCAATGTTTCTTTGCCTGGACTAACCGCATTGTCGGCTTCGCCCCGGAAGGTACTTCCACCGTGCCCCGCGACGCACCAACTCCGAGAGTACTTCGGCCGTTCGCGTTGCAACGGCAGCAGGCGGATACAGAGGCGGCACTCGCAAGGGCCTCGACCTGACATTCGGCGGACCCGTCTCCTCGGCAAGCACTGGCGAAACGACCTCTCGTTACTTCCCTGGGGCTCCGTCCCAAGATGCCGCTCCGCCCGCTCAAAGGGCGCTCCGTGGCGGTATCCTCCTGCGCACACTACGGAATCGAGAGACTTCCAAGATGTTTTCGGGCCCTAGTCTCCTGGTAGACGAGCTCTTGCGACTCAGCAACGCAGCGAACATCGCTCAACTCGTCAAAACCATGTGGATAGAAGATATAAATGCGTTCCCACCCCTCGCAGTCTCCGCAGAGCCAGTTACATCTCTCCGCCTGTGTGCACGAGATGCACTTGAGAAGCCTGTCAGAAAGGTTTACCGCTCCCCACGTATTGGCTTAGATCTATCGAATCCCGGCATCCCTCCTCCTGCAGGCTCAGACATCCACGCGACGCTTGCTCATCCGCGCACTTTCTTCATATCCAAGCGATATAGATACTTCGTCGGACCGACACTGCTAACATCTAACGGGCGCGGACATACACTTCTTGGTGTCTACGAAGACCTTGTTCAAAATGGCGACCTCTCCGAGGACAAGTTAATTGTGCGCCTGGAAAGTACGACGGGGCTGAAGCTGGCCACAATCGTGAAGTACCTGGGCGAATATCGTGCGGGCGGAACGAGCAGTCTACGCTCCTTCATCGGTGCGCAAGGCAAGGGTTCAGGCTCTTCACCTGTCACATTTCTTCGTATGCTTGGATGTCTCGACGCGGTGCAGAAATAATGATACGGTTTTGAGCAGTAAAGGATGCATTGGTTTGGTTTAGAATATATTATGGACTGCGATTATGTACATACTCTATCCGGTCCAGTAAAGTTGAGAATCTTGAGATAATCGTGCGTACCCGTCTCGTAACTTTGGTTAACGTGTATTAAACGCACTCAACAACAGTATCTGTTCGTGGTTTACCAGACAACACCACAACCGCAAGGCCTGCATGTGATTCCGAGAGACATCTTACGCACCGGTCATTCTAGACGTGCCTGCACGTAACGAGGTTTGCATTCGCGCGGATCGCGCGCGCACCTAATCAAGATCTAGGCCCTCGCCGCGACGGTGACGCTTCTCCTGTGTAAAGTCGCCCCGGGTGGTCCAGGCCTTGTCAGTTGCAAAGTCGCTGGGCGTAGCACCAGCGCTGTGCCCCTGTCAGCCGCCGCCCAAATGACCTTCCGTTGCTCCTCGATAGTTCCTCTGTCAGCCTCCACGTTTACCCCGTAAGTCTTCTCCGCGTTGTAACTTGTCCTCTACTCCTACTTTCCCTTCTTCGTGCTGGTCACGCAGTGCTTACATCCGCGCCATACCTAGATGCGTATCTCCTCAAAGCCAAAGATGAGGCGCAGTTCTGTGCCCTATGAAGAGCCATCATGGGATAATTGGAACCTCCAGCAGCATCAGTCAACGCCATCGCAAACTCTGAACGGCACGTCGTTGTCCAGGCGTTCTGGTACAAATCAACCGTCGCGGCGTAGCATCCTACGCAACGTTGATCTCTCTTCCTCAGACCGACCAGAGCTCAAGCCAATAACTCGTACTTGTATTGGAAGCATTCCATTCGCCGGGGAGACGTCGCCCACAAACGATGGCCAGGATCAGTTCTTATTGCCAACGTCACGCTCCCGGGGCTCGATAACCGAGGGACATCCTGCCCGTAACAATGAACGCGACTTACTGCCAGCCTCTACATCGTTCTCCTATCTCGACGCTCGCCCGCACACCACCACCGTCCCGCGCTGCTCGGACGCTGAGGCTGACCGGCTCGCCCGTGCGTGCGGAGACGGCCCCTTCTCGCCCATCGCCCCATCGCCGTATCTCGAAACAAGTATATTCACGGACGCATCGCCACGCCTTCGCTCGCGGTCGGTATCGAACACACGTGGTCAGCGGCGCAGCTCGCCCTCGCTCGCATCCTCGGGCGCGCGCCGCTCTGGGCAGCTCGCGCCGCCATTTCCCCACCCGCCCAAGCCGCAGGCGATCAAAGCGTTGAAGAGCATCCTGACGGAGGAGACGAAGTCGTTCAAAATCCACGACTACGTCGAAGTCGAAGAGCTCATGAGCGGAAATATGTGGGAAGACGAGGACGAGCTGCCAGTGGACTGTGTCAGGGATAAAGCGGACGACGATTCGGGGCACGATGGGGTGTGGCGGAGAGAGCGACGGGAAAGGCGACTGATGGAGCGTGTCAATCGTGATATTCGGCGACGCGATGGGAGTGAGTACCGTGCTCTCGTAATTGATATAGTACTCATGGCCATATCGCTTTGGCAGGTGTATTCGGCTCCTACGTTCAGGACTTGCCCGATTGCGCCATGGTGCCGGTCGTCATTGGCGGATACAGACACCATGTACCTGAAGTTGTGCATGCATGCACAGATGAGTTGTATAAGACGGGTACGCAAACCACCGCTCTGGGCTACTTCTCGCAGGTTGACGTGTAGTCGGCAGGCATTTACCATCATGATCTCTTTCGCACCTTGCCCAACCGCACCCGCCTACTCCACCTCGTCGCATACTTCGACAATCCGCAGCATTGTGCCCAGCTTCCGTCTCGGCCTTCGCTACCAAACCTTCCCTCCTTACCTCCCTCCACCAAACCCCGATTACCTTTGCATCGAGAGTCGTACTCTGAAGTCTGCGCTCTCCTGGTCACATATCTTACTTCTCTCCCAAAGCCACTCGTCCATCGCTCCCTTGTAGATGCTCTCTGGGCATGGTGCGTCTCGCCCTCAATAATTCGTGCCGAGCAGCGCCAGCGCAGGCATGGCGACGACGACGCATCCGAGTCTTCTTCGTCTGACTCTGACTTGGATGACGACACACCGAACTACAGCGCTCGGCTGCGCAAGCGTGAAGAGGCATTGCTCAACTTGCCATCTCTGCGAGTGCAGATTGCTATTGCCCGACAGGTGCTCCTCCTCCTTCCTCGGCGATACTTCTCGATACTCGCCTGTCTGCTCACATTCTTCGCGACGCTGCAAGTCTGTCCCGAGAACGGACTCACCCCGGAGGATGTCGGACGTATATTCGGCGGGGTGATCGTTGGCGGCAGGACTCCTAAGAAAGAATTGGCGCAGAGCAGGAGCGCGAGCAGCGGTGGAGATGCGACGACGGACGAAAGAGGCGGAGAGCGACAGGAGGAGCGGGGCAGTGTACGGGATATACGTGAGAAGGACGACAAGGGCCAGAGGATTGTTGCCTGGCTTGTGAAGCACTGGGAGCAGATCTCGACCGCATACGAGGCCGAAAGCGAAGAGCGTTTCGGACGCTGGCGGAGCCACTTGGCGTCACTATCGCGAAACGGCACGCAAGAAGACGTACAGAGGACGAGGTCGCGATCATGCTCAATGGTCGACCCGGGGAATGGAGAGAGTCGACACACCTTCGCTCAACAAGAGCGACAGAGCATCAGACAACCGCAACGGCAATCAGTCGATTGGCGAGATCGCAATCGCCCGACAGCGGCTTTCCGAGATAAAGATGAACAAAGTCCGAGACCGGGGATGAAGCATCGCCAGGCATTTGTCGACCGGGAAGGCGAGAAGAAGAGGCGGATGTCGATGTCTGCTCCATCAACAGAGAGCTCCGAGCCGGACGATCGCGATATACTGCTATCTCCGTTGGACTCGAATAGCATGACGCGACAGTCGCGGCCATCCGCGATCCCCGTTCGACAACGAGAAGAATCATTCCCTCCTCGCCAGGATAGGGCCGCGCTCGGTTTGAAATCGCTAGTTCCTCAGCAGATTAACATACCCGAAGAGGCTGTGGACGCCGAGCTGTTCGCAACCCCGGCGCCGTTCGATTTGGCCGTTGACGGTGCGGACGATGTTAGTATATACTCTACCGGTGAGCATAACATTAAATCCCGAGACCGTCCTACTGAAAGATTGTATTTTACAGCGAGTATGGACGAAGTTCATCACATGTACTCCAGCAGTCTCCTGCATGAAACGCTTCCTACTCTTGAACGATCGCTTGAGGTGGTCTTCGCCGACACTCCGCCGGTCCCGCCGCTGCACTGGTCGAAGCACCAAGATGTCCGTGGCTTGGGCGCCGCTGACGCATCAGCCATGTCGCGAGCTGTGCTCAGGCAGGAGAACGCGGAGCTAAGGAAACGGCTAGAGGAGGCATTGGGCGAGCGAGACCAGGCGAGGAAGGTGCTGAACGCTATGCGCGGGTTGGTGGGCAGTCAAGCAATGCTGGATAGCACATAGATGTCATCTAGGAATAGTGAACACGCTCTTCAACCAGGTTCGACAGGAAAGACTCTTCCAATCTGGAGTGATATCTTCGTGTTATTCCAACGATGTTTCATTACAACAAGGATATCGTACACCATTACTGACACATCCCACGACATGTGGGGACGATACTGGATACAAGCTCACAACGTAGATCACAGCATAACAACTGAATATGCATGAAACAACGAGCCTAAACACGCAAGCTTCCGCCGTCCTCCAACTAGTCTGTGCATGCGCTATCCGACGGGCTGCCCAACCGCGAACATGACGTTCCCACCCTGTTGTCGAACAATTTGATCCATGATTGCGAGCTCCTCCGCGCTGAAGTCGAGTGCAACTTGCGAGTGCACATGTGGGTCGAAGTGATATCCAACCCCGAGCTCGGGGACACCGAACGCCATCATGTCTGCTGGCGTTGACTGTACGGGAGACTGGCCGCCACCCGTGCTCCCGCAGCCGACTACGTCCGTGACCATGTTCATCTGCTGGCTGAGGCTGAATGAGTACCCAACATCAAGATCCATATCCGCGCCCGGGTGTACGCCGGGATGCGAGAATTCCACTGTGGGACTTGGCACTGTCGACGATGATGATGCGAAGAACTCTTTTGGTCCGTTCAGCATTGGCCAGCCGAGAGTCGACACCGTGGGACTACCCGGGAAGTACTGCAGCTCGTTCATCCCCGGGGCGCCGTTCGGTGGGGAGAGCGGTCCGGGTGGAGAAGTGAATGACGGCGCCGAGGACTCGTCGGTCGCGCTCCCGTTTCCTTTCCGTCCAATGCTGGACGCACTCGAGCTTGCTCGCGCACGTGCACGCTTATCGACGTTCTGCAGCTCAAATTTGAGGTTGGCGTCACCGCCGCGGAGAAGGAGGCGCGGTTTCAGGGTCTCGTCGAAAAAGTTCAGGAGAATCTCGCGCGCGCATTCAGCTGTCTCCCACGAGCGGCCAATAATGGAAAGATATTCCAGGCATGTTTCAACCTGCGAGAGCGACGATGCCAGTGTGACGCGCCCGAGCCGCGGACCGGAAATCGCCTGGATGGCTGAGAGGACGAACACAGTACCCGCAGAGAAAGTGAACTGGACATGGGTGGTCGAGACATAGCGGAGGTCATAATTGTTGTGCCATATTCCAAGCAGAAGCATCATATTCTCTGCGGCCCTATTGCAGAGCTGAAGGTTCGGATAAGAGAGCACGTTTTAGTATGTCACAGAGGCGTCTTCGACCAATAAACTCACCTTCACATGATCGATATCCACGTTCCCCGGTTTCGCGCGTCGATAGAACGGCCTATGTAGAAGGATGAATAGCCACCAGAACATGAGGTGCACAGTAAGTCTGTGCGGGAGCGCGGAAGGGCGAGTTGCTGCCGTGAGATCGACCTCAGGTGGGAGTGAATCTTTCCAGGCATTGAGCTCGATGCTGAGGAATGCAATATCAGGAGATGGCCACAAACAACGGACGATGACAGAACGTACTCAAGTTCGCTGACAACCTGCAGGTTTGGATGCCGGAAATCTGTCCCTAGACCATTTCTGGCAACATCTCCGTTAGTCGAAGCGCGCGTACGACCGCCGTGAGACGTACACGAAGTCCATAACTCTCCGCCCTATCCTCAAAAGTTCGCACGTCGCTTGAAAGACACTGGCGATGTTGCTTTTTTGCGGTGGCAATCTGGATGACTCCCAGACCCATGGCTCATGGTCGAACTCAGAGTCGACGAACGGCACAGGGATGACAGGCTCCTTGGGTGGTGCCATGGCACAGTCGCGTCCGATATAGAGCGACCAACATACATCCTAAAAATCTTAAATGAACCCCGCCTGGTGCTCAAAGGTATGTGCTACACACACCTGGCAGAAGGTCGTCCAGTACGCCCAATTGCGGTTATGCATGTCCGACTCTTTTATCCGTGCAGACTTGACAAGCGCTGAACAGTCGATTTGTAGGCCAACTAAATCGCTAAGGGCATTAACTGCCGCCCTTGCGTACACACGGACAGGTACTCACGAGCTTGGGTCATTCGCCCAGCCATACCTAGGCTCTGTCAGCATCGGCAATCACTTTTGAACCTGCAGATCAGCACCTACCAGCATACAAGAAACCTAAACTTTGTTCTCCTCTACTTGAATGGAACGTACTGAGAAGACTCAATGCGCCGACGACGCATACATTTGGCGTAAGACAGTCCTTCTCGAGATAGCTCTTGGCACGTCGCGCAAATAGTCGGCGAAACTCGATATTGTGAACGCGCGGATCGTCTGAATATGCTGTTGCGAGCGCGAGGAGCGCGTTGTGGAGCATCGGGGAATAATGGCTGAGTCGTGGTGGAGGCGCGGAGGGCGGGACGGAGAGCGCGCGATGCATGTCTCGCAAGAACAGGGTAGGGATTACGCGGAAGCACCATGAAGTGCAAAAGCGGAAGAGGAGATCCAGTAGTCTGTACATACGTCAATATATTTGCCATCTATACAACAAAAAGTAACAGGTAGACTTACCTATCGTGCTCGACGCGAGACAACGGGGCTTCCGGTGGTAAATGGCGGTTCCACTCAAAGACTGGAGCAGGTGCTTCTTGCACTACCTGGGTATTGCTTTCTGTCGGACTGGGACCGTCTGCATTTCGTTCCGGCGCGAGGCGATACGCTGACGTCGGGCCGTACAGTTCGAGGTCACCGTTCTGCAGCTAGAGGTACACCGAACAACGCGCCAAGGTAAGTGATAGGAATGTCATATGACATTCGAGGCCATGCGAATAGTGGCAGATAGATGAGAGCGTGTTGTTGTTCAGATAGCGCATGCGCGTCAATGTCGGAAGGAGTAGTTCGAGCATGAACGGTATAAAGTTGTATGCAACCACAGTGGGAAGGATTGGAGTTGAGAGACGAGACTCATGAGTCGTATGAGGTGGTCCTAGGACAAATGGACGTACCACGAGATGCCTGGTCGGCGCGATGAGCCGCTCAATCTCTGAGTCTACGTCCGAGTTGCCTGACGAATCCAAGTCATCGTCTCCGTGTGGTATACCATCATCGTGTTCTTCAAGTTTGGTGACAGGGGACGGGTGAGGGGAAAGAGACGACGACTGCCTGGTCGCATCAGAGACAGAACCCGATCGACGCGTCTGACTGCGAGAACTAGAGAGTTCACTTTCAAGTTCCTTGACGCGGGCCTCGAGGCTCTTGATATGATTCACTAGGCTTTCAAAGTGCTGCTGCGTCCGTGCTTTCTTCGCGGTCTCCCGTCCCCAGGTACACTGTGCAGCGGTCAGTTATCGGAATACACAGTATGATCGACGGACAACACACCTCGTCGGCTCTACCTGAGTCACGGCAAGGTCCACACACAGGCTGCTGGCCATCGCACTTACTCTTGCTGAAGAGGAATGAGCAGACTGGTTTAGATTAGCGGGGAAAGCTAACTAACCGACGGCGGCAGTGGTTGCAGGCCTGACGTGCGTAGGTTCCGCGGCCAGAGCCCGTCTTTGCAGGTTTCCGCTCGTCCTTCATGTCGAGAGGGGTCGGTGGTGATGGTGGTCGGCGCAGGAGTCAAGCGTGAGCTCGACGGGTGAGCTTGCCAGGAGTCGAGAAACGTATGGTTAGGGTTAGGCACACCTTGATCGAAGCGCGCGACAGCTGACGGAGGGCAATTACAAATCAGCAGTGCGGGGAGCCGCGAAGGAACGACTGGCGCACTCGACCTTCCTCGACGAGCAGGGTTCTTCATGCGGCGAGGACGGTTTCAAGAGCGACCAAGGGATATGCATGCTAGTGGGTCTTGCATCGACGATGCTGGCACGGAAGCTCATACATCATCAGTAGATCCGGCCCTAAATCGTCGCGCTCGCTGCTGGCCCTGCAACGAAAACACTTGTTGAACTACTTCGAGTTCACCCTCCATATCTGTTTCTAAATTCTTCAGTAACGCTACCTTACAGTGAGTCAGTGACACCGGACAGATGTAAGAGACGCATATAATCTTGTGCTTGCCCCTGAAAAGCACGACCTTATCAACAACTCGCCCACCAACGTTACGCACGCTAGGGCCGTCGGCTTTCTCATAATCAATCTCCACCAGTACAGCGATTACTGGAAAACACACCCATTTCCTACGCTGTTTTCGAGGCAGAAATAAGAGAGTCGAACTGAGCGAACAACTCCAACAGCTGGAGCTCTGGCTCGAGCCAACGGACATCGAACACGAGGTATCCGATGATATCTCTACTCTGACCTGCGTCAATGCCATTTAATATATGGCTTGTGCAGTATGTACCCCGCGCTCATGACGAGAAGTACGAGGCCCTCCTTGATCGTCCCGTCCGCTTTGCGGCCGAGCTCAATCCCAAAGGCGAGCCGCTCCCTCTCCCAGATGCTCCTTGCTCTTCACGCAGTGCGTGCGCGAGTCGCACACATGTCCGGAGATGCCGACTATATCTGGCTACTTCAACCTATAACGTGACATGTAAGCCGTCACTCTATGTTCACGGTTGCCTCGCTAATCACACCTACAGTCACGTTCTTCTCAATCGTTGCCACTAGTGTTCTCTTAAAAGGCTTATCTACTTGGCAACCCAGATCATCACGCTCATTGTGGGCTTTGTCATTTGCGTCGGCATCATCATCCTGCAGCTCACCAAGATCGACTCAACGCAGCTGAAGGTTCCTGGCCTTGATCGCCACTCGAAGATGCTCCTCCAGGCCGTACGCAGCAAGTCCGCCAGCGTCGACGAGGAGAACCTCGTTACACTCGAAAAACCAGGTATTGACATGCTCCGCGGCAACTTCGGCACAATGGGTATTACCATACGCGCGCGCACCGCACAGCGCATGAGCATGTCAAGTTGCGCTACTAACACTAGCTTGCGGAACCGACTCGGACCCAGCCTTAGCGAGGACGAGCAGGCCCACTACAACGTGACGAGTGGACCTGGCGATCAGCTCGCGGACCTGCAGAGATATCAACTACACGACTTGCCTATGCCCACCTGGGACAACATCTCGTTCGCGAGTGACGTCGTGTCGCCACGCAAGCAGACCATCAAGTCTGGCAACGAAGACCTGACTCGCAAGTAAGCGGCGTCGAATAGCTCGATACAAGCAACGGGATATCTCACTTCGTGGAAATGATAATTTTACTACGCATGTCTCTGACTGTCCCGGGGTGTGAGTAAGGCCGCTGCAGCCAGCAGTACGCCAGCCCTCTGGTAGACAGCGTTCGAGCTCAAACGGAACCCCCGCTCTCCTACACAGTCTCTTAGCTGCATCAATAATAAGACGGAAGATCCGATCGCACCTGCGCCGCAGAGCCTGCATCATCATCGCCCTCTCCTTGCGCAGTGTACACCTTCGAGGTAGTGCCCCTGCATCTGCTGCTGTGGATGAGCTCGACCAGGCCTTGGCACGCGCACATCAGGAAACACTGTTAGGCGCCGTAGTGGGGACTTCACTACCGAAGCGTCCGAAGCGTCCAAAGCTAGCGGCGCGCGGAGCTGCCTGCCGCGTAGCACAAGGAGTTGTGGTAGTGGCCTCGGAGCAGAGGCTCACCTTCCGTTTTCATTATAGCTACAGTTACTTAATTTCAGTAATACTGTAGTTTTACAACTGTAGTGGATGTCACACATCACAGGGCCCTCATCCTGTCCGTTATTTCACCTTTGTCACATGTCACAAAGGGGTCCATCCGGTTGTGACATCCGAGATTTGTCACAAAAAAAAAGACACATTTTTTCAGGCCTGCGGCACTCTGTAGTACTGTAGAATGTATTATCATACCAACAATGCTACCTAGATAAAATACTGTAGCCACACTCGGTCATTCATTAGCTGGCGGATGTTACAGGTCATTGAGGACCCATCTGCTTGTTTGGTTCGTGTTGAACGGATTAGTGTCTCAGGCAATCAGACTTGTTCTGGACTGTCTCACATATGTAACGCGCGCCGCGCATGGACATTTGTATGATAGCAGTTTCATTTTCTGATTTGAACATCATTTGTTTCATCCTCAGTAGCATATAAGGACTCACCCCTGATCTCCACTCTGCGTGCTCTTTTGCCTTTGCACCCAGAGTAAGCTTCCTTTATTGCCATTGCATTATGCCCTATGCTTACACTGTACTAGCTTACGGCGTTCTGCCTTTGTGTGTTAGGTACTAGGATGATGTGGGCTGCAGCACAGGTGTTTGGCGGATATGATTTCTTCATTCCTTGCCATACTACAAAACTTCTTTCTATTATTTGCACTGTCTTAGTATGAATCTTTTGCTCATGACATCAATGTTAGTGTTTATACAATAGTAATATTTTATAATAACAACAGAAGCTAAATTTATATCTAGTATAGTAATATGCAGGGCAAGGCTCAAAGTTCACAAGCTTTAGAGGCCTGGTTCAGAATCTCAAGCTAAGCTTGAACCTCATCAAAAAAACTCAAAGGTGCAAACAACGGCACTTACTTCTAAAAGACATGAAACATACTGGAGTTTGATGGAGTAACACCACTAAATGCTAGTGAGTGCATATTAATTTAGTTGTGGATGATATTGCTATACAAAGAGGTATGATACATGATGTATGAGTGTAAATATCTATTGTATTCATTATGAGCCTTTAAACATATCAGCCTATACTTGTAAGATCAGTTCATATTTGTTTAATGCTGCACTGCCTGGTGAAAGCTTGTACTGTAGCGGAGTGAACGGTACAAACTGGCCAGGAAGGCGTGACAGTTAACTTGCCCTCCATGCTACCAACCGGCCTGGGGTTATGCGTGACATGTTAGTTTGTGGGGGAAAATATTGGCTAATCAGGTGCTTCTGACAATCCTATCTGCAACTACAGCCCTTGCTGAAGGCTTAAAAGCAATGAAAAGGCCAAAGAAATAGTCATACTGCCTATAAAAACTGGCTTATGCTCCCTTCAGACCCTTGAAAAGCCATGAAGCGTGACAAGAAGACCGGAATTACAAACCGGTGAGGGGGTGCGTTATGCGTTACGGTTTGTACCGTTCGCTCTGCTACAGTAATGATGATCTCTTGGGTACAATTAGAGTTTAGATGGAGATTAAGTATTGAATGAGCTAGTTTATATGCTATGCTGCATCTGTCTCTGCAATTACAGCAAAGAGGTGTAGATTGTACTATTAAAAATAGCTAAGCAAATATCAATGATACCTCTACATGGTTACCAATATAATGGGGAGTGCCTATGAATATTTAGATGAATTTAAAATGTGTATACAGTGTGCAGTAGCAGGGCTAACCTTGAAAACACCAGCAAGTATGTTTGCGCTCATTTTAGGTGCCATAAGCGCCGGTGTCGGGAATATCCGGACACATCAAATGGTGTTCTCGCATGTTACGGATTATATCCGCATTTTAGCGGATTTATCTGAAATTTATCAGAAGGAAGACAGCCTTGTCATTCTGGCACCATTTTTGCTTTGAGAGGTACATCCAAACCTTTACCATTCTACTCTTCTTTTAGAGGGGGGTTGGTGGTTAAAATGTGGGTTGTGTGATTAAAAATCTGCAAGCACTGTGAAAAGAGTAAAATGCACTCTGGAGAGCACTTTCAGATGTAAATACTGTCAAATGGCAATATTCAGTGACTAACAAGAAAAATACCCGATCGCGCAGTGGCGTGCGATCAGGAAAGACATTATGTTGTAAATACTCATATGAAGCAATACCATGTAATGAAACAGTATTGTGTTAAAAACCCGATCGTGCAGCAGCGCGCGATCAGGAAAAACATCATATTGTAGACACTGATATGAAGCAATACCATGTGATGAAATAGTATTGTGTTAAAAACCTGATCGTGCAGCAGCGCGCGATCAGGAAAAACATCATATTGTAGACACTGATATGAAGCAATACCATGTAATGAAATAGTATTATGTTAAAAACCCGATCGTGCAGCGGCGCGCGATCAGGAAAAACATCATATTGTAGACACTGATATCAAGCAATACTATATGATGAAACAGCATTGTGTTAATAACCCAATCATGCAGCAGCGCGCAATCAGGAAACACATTGTATTGTAGACACTCATATAAAGTGAGACTGTGTAATGAAACAGTATTGTGTTAATAACCCAATCATGCAGTGGCGCATGATCAGGAAGAACATGCTACAGACACTCGTATAAAGTGATACCATGTGATGAGGTGGTATTCTGTTAATAACCCAATCATGCAGTAGTGTTCAATTAGAGAAAACATCATATTGTAGACATATATAAAGCAATATCATGTGATAAAACAGTATTGTGTTAATAATCTGATTGTGCAGTGGCATGCAATCAGAAAAGGCATCA